GGCAATGTTCCCTCTGCAGTACAGCCGCTCATACACCAATTCAGAGAGGTCTTTCAACCGCCCCAGGGTTTACCTCCTCAAAGAGAGTTGGAGCATGCCATCACTTTGCAAGAAGGTGAGACTCCGATCAGCGTCCGTCCTTATCGCTACCCCCAGATTCAGAAAGATGAGATTGAAAGGCTGATCCGGGAAATGCTGGAGGCAGAGATTATCAGACCCATCAACAGCCCTTTTTCTAGTCCAGTTCTCCTAGTCAAGAAGAAGGACGGGAGTTGGAGATTTTGTGTGGATTACAGGGCTCTGAATAAAGGCACTATACCAGACAAATTCCCAATTCCTATGATTGATGAGCTGTTAGACGAGCTACATGGTGCAGTGATGTTCTCTAAGCTAGATCTAAAATCTGGATACCACCAGATCAGAATGAAGGAGGCCGATGTTCCAAAGACAGCGTTCAGGACACATGAAGGGCATTATGAATTTCTGGTAATGCCCTTTGGTTTGACTAACGTTCCTACAACATTTCAATCCTTGATGAACCGGGTATTCAAGCAGCACCTTAGGAAGTTTGTCCTGGTCTTTTTTGATGACATCCTGGTGTACAGCAAGACTGTGGAGGAGCACTAGGAGCATTTAAGAGCGGTATTGGAAGTGCTTCGGGAGCACCAGTTGAAAGCCAACCTAAAGAAGTGCAGCTTTGCTCAGGCAAGTGTAGAATACTTGGGACATGTGGTATCTCAAGGAGTGGCAGCAGATCAAACTAAAATTGAGGCAATGCAATGGCCGCTACCTAGGAACCTCAGGGAATTGAGTAGGATTGACTGGATACTATAGGAAGTTCGTGAAGGTGTATAGTACCATTGCCTGGCCTTTGACTGAGCAGCTGAAGAAGGACAATTTTTGCTGGGGAGAGGCAGCCACCCAGGCGTTCGAGAGGTTGAAGGAAGCCATGACGACGGTCCCTGTTCTAGCTCTTCCAGACTTTGATCAGGCTTTTGTAGTAGAGACAGATGCCTCAGAATATGGGCTAGGGGCGGTGCTGATGCAGAATCACAGGCCAGTAGCATACTTCAGCCAGGTACTTTCAGCCAGAGCTAGATTGAAGTCAGTGTATGAAAGAGAGTTGATGGCCATTGTTTTGGCAATCCAAAAATGGCGGCCGTATCTCTTGGGAAGACACTTTATTGTACGGACTAATCAGAGGAGCTTGAAGTATTTGTTAGAGCAGAGGATGGTGACCGAAGAGCACTATAGGTGGTTATCCAAACTATTAGGCTATGATTTTGAGATCCAATATAAGCCTGGTTTGGAGAATAAGGCGGTCGATGCTTTATCAAGATGCGTTGGGGAGATTCAGTAGTTGGTTGTGTCGGCGCCATTGATAGTAGACTGGGGGGCCATTAAAGAAGAAAGGATGCTGAGCGAGGAGCTGAGGAAGATCAGGGAGGATTTGGAGAAGGACAAGAGCAGTCATCCTGGTTACTACATTGAAGGGGGGAAACTATTGTATCAAGGGAGGTTCGTGATGCCACGAACTTCCATACACATTCCCCATCTTTTGCAGGAATTTCATGGCAGCTCAGTCGGAGGTCACTCAGGAGTTCAGAAAACATACAGGAGGCTGGCAATGGAACTCTACTGGAAAGGAATGCATAAAGATGTGGAGGAGATGGTGGCGAGTTGTGAGGTCTGCCAAAGAAACAAATACATGGTCATGGCTCCAGGAGGTTTACTACAACCATTGGCACTTCCAAACAGAGTTTGGGAGGAAGTGTCCATGGATTTCATTGATGGCTTACCCAGGTCAGAAGGATTCACGGTCATTCTGGTGGTGGTGGACAGGCTCAGCAAGTATGCCCACTTCATTCTCTTACGACATCCTTACACGGCGGTGTCAGTGGCTGCGGCATTTATCAGGGAGGTGGACAGGCTGCATGGGGTTCCAGAATCTATTGTGTCTGATCGAGACAAAGTGTTCCTCAGCCAGTTTTGGAGAGAGCTGTTCATGATGCAATGCACGGTCCTCAAGAGAAGCACCGCCTACCATCCACAGACCGATGGGCAAACAGAGGTGGTGAACCGAAGTTTGGAAACTTACTTGAGGTGTTTTGCTTCAGAAACACCGCGGATGTGGGCAAAGTGGCTACCTTGGGCTGAATATTGGTACAATACGTCGTACCATTCTGCCTCTCAGATGACCCCATTTAGAGTGCTGTATGGAAGGGATCCCCCACACTTAGTGCACTACGGGAAAGGAAGTACACCGGTCTCGACAGTTGAGCAGTACATGGAGGAAAGGGACAAGGTGCTGGAAGAATTAAAGAAGCATCTGATGAGGGCTCAACAGATCATGAAGAAGCAGACAGATTCACACAGGAGAGACATGCAGTTTGAAGTGGGAGAGAAGGTATTCCTAAAACTACGACCCTACAGGCAAAGGACAGTAGCGAGAAGAAGGAATGAGAAATTGGCGCCAATATATTTTGGCCCCTACGAAGTGTTGGACAAGATCGGAGCAGTGGCGTATCGTCTGAAGTTGCCCTCTTCTGCTACCATACACCCAATGTTCCATGTGTCACAGCTGAGAAGAGCATTAGGGGAACAGGTAGCTAGTGCGGAGCTACCAGCATCTTTGACAGAGGAGTTAGAGGTGATCATGGAACCTATGGAGTTGCAAGGAGTGAGGATTGATAAAAAAGAAAACAAGGAGGTGTTGATTAAATGGAAGAATCTTCCCGACTATGAAGCTACTTGGGAGCCTTATGAGATTGTGAAGCAACAGTTCCCCAATTTTCACCTTGAGGACAAGGTGAGTTTTTGGGAGGGGAGTAATGTTAGACCGGCCCAGGATGGGCCGATTGGACCGGTCCAACCGAGACGGTCCATTGCTACGCGAGACGGGCTGGGCGGAAACGGCAGCAAGAGGCGGAACTTCATGTGGACTCCACGTGGGATTAATTTTGATTTGGGAGGGAGAAATTTGAATGAGGGGGTTGTTTTAGGAAATCCATTATTGTCCTTTATGATTATTTTTTGTTTAATTAGGAGATTGGGGGGAAAGGAGGGTCTTCTGGAATTTGAATGAGAAGTTTGAGATCTCTTGGTGTTCTTGGGCTCTAGGGTTTGCTAGAGACTTGTAAAGAGTTGTTCTTCCTCTCGAATTGAAGAACGTTGTATCTTTCTTTGTTTTGCTTTCATTGCAAGTGAAATACAAGTCGTATCTTGCGTTTTCTCTCAGATTTCCCTGTTTTCCTGCTGATTTCTGCTGTGGACAGCAGTTTGCAGATTTTCACTGGTTTGGTTAGGAATACTTGAGAACTCAAGTACTTCCTATCACTTTCCTAGAAGAAGAGGAAGGGGTGGAACAAGCTCTCAAGCTTTTCCAAGAAAAATCATCAGTTTTTCCATTCCAAAAATCACAGCATATCTCTCAACCAACCTGAGAGCAACTAAAAGTCCAAACCTAGAAACAATAATCAGCCCAAAGACCAAAAGATTCAACTTGTTTTGACCCCCCCCCCCCTTGCCTACATTACTTTTGCCCACAAAAATTTGGGGCTTCTCCCAAATTTTGCTTGCTTATGTCGATCGTTTTAACAGTCACCCACTGAGTTTACTTTGTAAACTCATTCCACTAATTAATTGTTTCAGGTAAGTCTCCAAAGATTTAGAAATGGCAGAAAGAGAAGAGTTCGTCTATAGAAGACAGCATGCAACTGATAATAGGTAATTTATGATTTGAGAAATGTTAAGTATTTGAGGAATTTTGTTATTGACTCTTCGGATAAAAGAAAAGAGAATTTGATGTTTTAATGTTGTTTTGTTTATGAACTGAAATGATTAGATCCTACCGTCCGACTTTTAGTTCTCGACCAGTTAAATCGAGCATCCGGGCCAGATCATGATAGGAATAATTAAAAAATTACTGCTAGACCGGTCTCTAGTGGACTGGCCTAACCCCAACCGGCCTCTTCAAAGAGGCTGGTTCTTTGCTACAGGAGGAGGGGCAGCAACATAAGGAGAGAGAAAGGAGTGGGGCCCACTAGGTATTCAAATTCAAAGGAATTGGACGCAAAGGAGGGGGCGGCAAGGGCAAGGGAGTAATTTGGTTTTAAATAATTAATTGTATGCTTTAAGTATGGGAGGAGGGATTAGGGTTAGGGTTATGCTTGAATATTATTCTCTTGGAGTTCTCTTTGTTGTCTTGGACTCTAGACTCTTCGTCTAGAGATTGGGAGAGAACAATCCTCCTCTAGAATGACTTTTTACCTTCAGTCTGGGTCGGGTTGTCAGGCCGCGCTGTAAATAGAGAAGCACATGCTAAACAAACCAAGCGGGATCGTCGGGCCGTCGGGTCGCGACGTGGCATCCTCCTATTGGATTCCGGATGTATAGATGCGTCCGGTGATCGAACCCAATAATTTCCCCTTTGTTGTCAAGGTGTAAAAATAAAAAAAGCATGAGCATGGTAGAAAGATCCATGATGCATGCTAAGAAGACAAGTCGATTCAAGAAGAACAAATAATTACTAAAATTAACAGAAAATGATAAAGGGAAACAAAGAAAATAAATAATTATTTATGTCTACAAAAAAACTAATGGAAACCATCAACAACAGCCACCAACTCTATCAACTTACATATCAAAATAGAGCATACAAAGTTTTAGGTGATAATTTCGTTTTAAGTCGTCAAACTGATAGCCACCGCTTCAATGATTTGCTTATAATATTGCCAGAAAAGGAAGTATTGTGTATTGTTTACAACATTGCCAGAAAATGAAATTTTTCCATGCCGATAAAAAGATCTAGGTATTTAGTCTTTTTCACAGATAGTTATCATGTTCTTTCTTCCAGCATGCGCCGGATAAAAAAAAAATAAAAAATAACACATCAAAGTTCACCAAATCAAACAGTAAAACAAACATTGTAGAAAGTTCTAAAATGCAAATAAGGGCAGCATCAAAAATGCAAGAGCTTCAGGACTATATAGATGGCGTACCATGTCCAACCTCACGCCTATTCAAACCACCACGTTTGCCAACCTCATTAATACAAAATGGTGGGAAAGTATAATGTAGCATAAAACGTTTTGTTGGGGGGCCAACAAGTGAATCCAAGCGCTGTGCATCTCCAGGAGCCCCAATGGTTACAGTACACAAAACCTATAGAAGATATTGAGAACCTCTATGATGTTAAAGATTTTTATGAGATATTGTGTATTTGTATTAAGTTCAAAATAATTAACATCAAGACGATGAGTCTAAAAGCAAAATCCATACTTGAGTATCACCGCGTGAGAAAATTGACGATCCATGCAAAATAGGATAAGTGCCAGCTTCACAATGCAGAGGCCTGACTTCATCAAGTTTTCTCCCATCAACCCGCAGACCTTTATCAATAACCCTTTTACGGACAATCTATTAATAGAAAATTAAAAATCAAGTGAGATTCGGTTGACTATGTTGTGAATTAGCTCAGCCCAAAAATTAACAACAATGGTGAAATATGCAACACCTATGGAGGCGCAATTCAAGGATAGTACTCACAATAATGAAATCAGAGAGTGGGCTTGCAGAAATGGTTAGGTTGCACCCACTATGATCATGGTTGCAAGTTTGAATCGCAGAAACAACTCAACAACTTCTATGAATGGAGGAATAAGGCTACTTAAATAAACGATAAACCCTTTCATGCCTCATATATTGAGTAGGCCATTAATTAGTGAAGCTAAAATATAAGTTAACAATTTTGAAAAAAAATTATGACCTTGAATAGAATAAAACAGTAAATTTCAAGCCAAATTGAAGAAATAAGCTACTAGTGAAATTCAGCAAAACTAAAAGCCTAAAAAGGCATATAAGAAAACTCTAGCAACAGAATATTTGTGTGATAAGCCCAGATATCCTGGAGAGGGTTAAGAAAAATGAACAATTGCCATGAATTCTGATTCTAACTTGATTTCCTTGTAGGATATTAGCTACTTTTATAAAAAAAAAAGTTTACATGTCTTGGAATCTCAAGAGCAACATTCTATTGTCTGATAGATTAAATTTTATATTAAACCGTTAAAAAGTAAGGCCATCCTACCTAGGACTATTTAATTACAATTGCATGAATAAATCCATAGAATAAACCGGTCTAAAAATTACCTAACTTAAAAATTAGACAAGTACTGATGCAAAGCATTTAAGAATTTCAAGTTTCTAATGCAACTAGAATAATACTATTGATGTTGATCATAGAAAAAAATTATGATTACAAATTAAAGACAATTAAATATGCAAAAAAAAATCTGCATTTTTTGGATGTATATTCTCTCTCGCTATTGGGAGGAGTACTTAACTATAGGGGCTTGCACCTATAGGTAGGGGTGTCAATATTGGACCCGAACCGAAAACCTGACTCAAACCCGACCCAAAAATTTCGGGTTTGGGTTGACCCGAACCCGAAACGGGTTGGGTTTGGGTTCAACAATTCGACCCGTTTCAAAAATCGGGTCGGGTTCGTGTTGACCTGTTGACCCGAAATTGACCCGAAAATGACCCATTTTTTACTGGAAAACCCATTTTTGACCCGGCAACCCGAGATTGACTCGTTTTTTACCCGAAAAGAGGAGTTTGACCCGTTTTTGGACCCAAAAACTAGCATTTTTTGTCCGACCTAGGTCATTCGGGTCGAGTCGGGTTGACCCAGACCAGAAGCGGGTCAGGTTCGGGTGCGGAAAACCGACTTGTTTGCAGAAACGGGTCGGTTTTGGGTTGACCCGAATAGTACCGGGTCAGTTTCGGGTTCGACCCGAACCGTGACCCGAAATTGACACCCCTACCTATAGGAAACCTAAACTCATATCATAAATTCCTCACAAAATGAGGGCGATGACTCTGGGTAATGTCTTATTTAAAACCCAATCTTCTGAAAGTTTACCTTGGAACTTAAACGTTAAAACTCTCCTGACCCAGATACGAAAAAGAAAGTGGTCGCAGAAAAGCCGGGGCACGAATTTTCGGAGCCCACAATAAACACAAAAATCTCCATCGAGAAACAGTGCAAGAAAATGGACATTTAAAAAACATCCTGAATTTTATTAAATAGCATAGATACACAAGAAGCTGCATGATTGCTTGGTTAGGATCATTTGGCTGTTCCAAAAACCAGCAAATATTTGGGGCAAAAGGAGTGCATAGCAAAAGGAATGAACGTAAATTATCCTTTTGGGGATTTGGTTTGGACCAAATTTTCTACCTATAGTTTACACCAGGCTACTTCTAAGCTATTACTCGTGAAGGCAATGTGGCTAATTCTACTGAATATACTTTGCAAGAGCATGTTTTGCTGACAAAATGGTTTGCTGCAAACCAAGATGCAGCTGTGTGAATCTATTAAATATGAAGATGTAAAAATAGAAAAAATAAAACTTTTTCCCAGTAAGAGCCATATATACCTGTTTCCTAACCGTGTCAACAGCCTTTGGTAGAACTTTTAAGCTCTCCTCATCAAATTCCTCTTCAAGTTTTGCCCTAACATCTTGTGTAATTTTGTCCAAGGCTTCACCACGCTCAAACTAACAATCAAGAAAATTTTGTATTAGGGAAAAAAAAAGGTTATTGATCTAAACCATTGCATAAGGCAAAATTTCTACTTTTCCAACAAAACATGAAATATGTTATAAAACGGGATGAAGAAGAGCTAGTCCTAGTCCTTAAATTTTTCCTAGCTACAAAATTTGGGCAGGTATTGACAAAAGGAAGAATAGCCTCCTGAGTTAAATATTTATTTGTTAGAGCAAAAAAAGCAAGATATTAATAGATGAAATTCTAAGGCATACAAAAGAAGATTTCTTTGGCAAAAACAGTACAATGAAACCAGAGAATACCAAAAAAACACCTTTCCATATGCCGCATCAGTAAAAACAGCCTCAATCGGTCCTTCTGCCAAGCTTCTGATCTTCCCAAGTGTTCTGTCCGTGATCATTGATAATTTATACTCTTTCTTCTGTTTACCAGCTTTTTCAGCCAATTTTATTTGAGGTTCAATGTACTTGACAGCCTGATCAAAATAATTATATTTCAAGCAATCTTTACTCATCAATCTATAAAACAAAGCAAGCACAATCAAGCAGGCGTACCTCAGGATGTGCAATCTTTAGGGCAGCTTCCAGGTCCTTTTCTGAGATCTCCCGAGCCTGTACATCTATCATTAAAGTCTTGTCCCTAGTGCAGGCATAAACCAAATTAAGATCACTCATGCTCAGCTGCACAATTAACAGAACTTAATCAGATTCCTAAAGCTAGCTTTGAAGAAATAATAGTTTAGACTGAGAATAGTTTAATAGGGTTCAAAATACAACTGAAATGAAAGAAATCACTAGAAAAATCAACAAATTATGCTAATACATTAAACTTTGAAATGCCAGGCAACAACATCAATTAGAGTGATGCAAACTAATCTTGAAAATCACCTCATCCATGGTCGGATTAAAAACAAATTGGCCATCTATCCTCCCCACACGTATCATGCCCACAGGCCCTCCCCAAGGGATGTCAGACAGCATAAGTGCGGCAGATGTCGCATTTGCAGCCAAAACATCTGGATCTTGTTTTCCATCTGATGAAAGAACGTTCACCGTAGCCTATTACATACAATGTAATGGAGATATGGTTTTTCACCAAAAAGGTCGATAAATATTAATACAAAATTTGAAATTTTGAAGGGCAAAAAAAAACCTGGACTTCATGGTAGAAGCCGGCAGGGAATAGAGGACGGATGGGTCTATCAATTAGGCGCCCACATAGAAGTTCCCGTTCTTTCGGAGCCCCCTCTCTTCGCATGAACGTTGTAGGGATGACACCTTGGGCATATTGCTTTTCTTGATAGTCAACCTTCCACAAGTTTTTGATATATCAAATGAAATATAAAACATAAGATGATCACAAACAAAGAGAACGAATTTAAAGGAAGTCACATCCGGAAAAGAACAATGCAATAACAGCAAAGCAAATGAACTTACAGCCATAGTTCAAAATTAAAATTTTAAAGATAAAATTGAACAAGCTATAGTCATTCCATTTTATTCAGAGAGGATGGTTCAAGGGAGGCAGATGTAGTTTGGCAAACATAATAATTATCTTTCAATAGGGGAGCCAAATGACCATAAACACATTTAGAAGCTTCATCTTCCAACGCAAGCTGGCTAAACAATTTATTATAGTCCAGACAGCCAGTTATAGATATGTGTCAGTCTGGCCCTAATAATGCATTAAACAATGGTGATGAACGATATACATGGCATAATCACTTGTGTACACTACATTATACATGGCATAATCACTTGTGTACACTACATTCATGCGTTTGGTAAGAACGTTGATTTTCACATGCATTTTAGTAATGCATTCGAAAGCATCACAGACACTACTAATTACCATGGGACAGCTTAGCATAATCAATGTGTTATTACTGAGGCTAGAAATACTATCTGATAGAAGTAGAATAAGATATGTGGTAGAGTATAACAGAGAAAGTGTTATGTCAAATTACTATTCCATTCTATGACAGTGATGGTGATACTCTGGTTTTGATGGTTGGGATGCTCTCAATGGTTAGAGATGGATGATGAGGGTCAATCCAGTACAGGTAATGACTGCTTTGAAGCAGCTTTTATGATATTATAATTATTTGATGTAGTATTATAAACAACTCCCCTCAAGCTGACGGTTAGTTCTTAGATCACCAACTTGCCCCATAGCATAAGAAAGCATTTGTTGGATAGAGATTGCGCATATCTTGACATAGGGTGTCTAACACATAGGAGATGTTAGGCCTTTTGATGGTAAGGTATAGAAGGATGTCCACCAAGTGACGGTAGAGGATTGAATTACTGTATTGAGAGTCATGTTGATCAATGGATGTAGATTTGATGGTGGCTTGGTTTTAAATGGTTTTTCTGTCGCTCATGCCAACACACTTGAGGATGTCAGAGGTATAGGGCAACTAACTCAGATGCAGGTCCTATAAAGTTTTTGTTGCATGAAGGAATAAGGAAATCAATCCTAAATTGTGAATGTTGAAGTGGCATTGAAGATATATCGAGTTCTACCATAGAATTAGAGTTGGTATCTGTCAATAATATGTCATCAACATATATGAAAATATATAGCTTGGCGGCATCACAAGTATAGATAAGTAAATAGGATCATAAATGCTAAAGGTGAAGCTGAATTGTTGAAGTTGATAGGAGAGTGTGAAGGCTTACTTTAATCCTTAGAGAGCTTTTTTCAATAGACAAATATGGTAAGGTTTGTGTGGGTCTTGAAATCTGGGTGGTTGAGACATGCAGACGATTTTATCGAGTCATCTATGTAAGGTGTATGATACATCTAGTTGGATTATTGTTCCGTTGTGCTAAAGTGACATCTTGAGAAATATTCCAATGGTGATAAGTTTGCAACAAGGCTCAATGTCTCTGTGTAGTCTAATGCCTTCTGTCTGATTGTATCCCAACACGACGACAAGATGAGCTATGTATCGTGCTATCATGCCACCTGACTTGTACTTGGTGTGATAGCCGTTTGCTACCTAGAATTTGCTGTTTTGAAGCAGCTGAAATCAGTACCCCGGTTCCTCAAGATTGCAATGCTTGGAACTCATTCGACATTGCCTTTGTCCAATTTGGATCTTTAGCAGCTGTTGTATAGCATGTTCGGACTGATGGGTTGGTACTTTGATGAGATAAGATTAGAATTTGCCTTGGCTTCAGGTACCCAGTCCTGAGTGGATGAGCATGGGTGATTGGAAGAGATGGAGGATGAATATGTGGATGTGGAGGTTTGTATAGTTTGCAGGTGTTGAGTTATGGGCAAGAATGTGTTCAAAGGCTGGAAGCAGGACTGATTGGGGAGGTTTCCGGTATCTGTTGACTACTTGAGAGAGGTTCGTGGTGCAAGTTGTGTACTAAACGCGGCTTTGGAGTGGCATTAGTTCTAGGCCCAGTGGGATGATTGGGGATGGGGATTGTAGAGGAGGGAGTTACGTGAGAGGATGTTGGTATTCTAGTGGAGGTTGTTGTGGATTGTTAACGGTATTTGTCTGATATGGAAATTTGGTCGCTTTGAAAACAACGTGAAGAGAGTGTTGCAAGGTTATAATACAATCCGGTCAAAAAACTAGAGAACAACGGGAAAATAATACCGTTAGGGGAGTGGGACAGAAGTGTACCGTGAGGGGTAGAAAATCTCGGGATCCGTCTGTTTTCGCCGAGGAAATAGTAGAGAGAACGTTGGTTTCGTCCATGGTGATGACGACGGATCCGTTTGCAAAGCGGGCAATCTTTCCTGTCTCAATGGTGATGATGCGAGAACCAATCTCAAACTCCTCCTTGAAGGAACCCAGCACCTTTCGGCCAGGAATGAGAGGGTACGTGTATACATGAGATTCCATGTCCAGCTCCGGCTCTGACAGTGATGCTGACTGCAGGTCGAGGCTGCTACTGCAGAAGCGCCGAAATCCGGGGCTCCGCCATGTAAGGTAGCGCGGAAGTGCAGAGATCAGAGGGTTCTTCGCCGCCCTTATGGATATGGCCGCGGCCATGGAGAGAATTGATAAGGGCAGTGAGTTTTGCCTGTGTTCTTTTTCTCCGGCAAGCGGGGGTTGAAGGGAGGTCTATATTTATATATTTATAGGGTTTAAGGACTTCGCCGAGGATCGGAGTGAGGGTTTAGGCCAGAAGAAGGCAAAAAATTGAAGGGATTTGTAAGAGAACAAAAATTTTATTTATTTATCTATCTAATTTTTTATTTTTTTATATTTATTTCTATAATTTTTAAATTCTCAAATAATATGGAAACATTATCAATATTATTTTATTTAAAATAAAAAATATATTTCATATGAATATTCTTCAATATTTATTTTTTTTTTCTTCGATATAATTTCAACATTAAACTAAAGTATAAGTAAATATAAAAAAATTTAGTTATTCAATATATGAATTGATACATATTTGTAAGTTTTTTAAAAAATAAAATATAGAAATTACTATGCTCTTAATTTTATATATAATAATTTAACTAGATGCAAATAATTACATATTAATATGATTAAAAAAATAATTATAATATAAAATTGCTAAGTTAATCAATATTTTTTTATTTTTTCATATATATATTTATATATATAATATTAAAAATGGACCTAATACACAAATCTATATGTATGAAATTATTAGGCAAAATAGCTTTTGTAAGTTTTCTAAATTTTCAACTAGAAGAGTTATTAAATGATGTCAATCAATGCAAATAAAAATGCGATCGTAATTTTTGTTTATAAGGTTTCATTTGGGACAGTTTCCTTACTACTTTTAAAGTATTTTTTTTAGTACAAAAATTTTAAAATCAATAAATTTCATATGAAAAAGCTGACAATATAAATGTTATTCCAAACGAAATCTTAGGCTATGTTTGAAACATTTTTCTTACTGTTTTCTAAAACAACAGTTTAGTATAAAAAAAAATTTAACTATAAATTTTTATACTATAAAGCTGGTTTAGAAAACAACGAGAAAATTATCTCAAATGAAACCTTAACCTCCCATCTTACTTTCCGACTTATTAAAAATTTGAAGACATTTTTCACTATCTATATAAGATTCTTAAACTTATCTATATAATTGTCACTCAAATTATTATTTATCATTGGATTAATACTCTTGTAAAGAATTTGACTTCCCTCAACTTAAAATTTTTAATTGTATATTGATATCAATTGTATGTCCAAAAAAAAATCACATTGACTTCATAAAAAATATAGGATTCATTTGAAACGATTTTCTTACTACTTCAAACAACTTTTCAATATAAAAATTAAAATTTTTGTATCAAAAAACTGTTTCAAAAAGCAGTAAGAAAATCGTCCCAAACGAAGCCAGTTGCTAAAAAAACAGCACTCCATGTCTCCATCCCTCCATCAGATGAGAATATCTAATTTAATGAAGAAACTTTGATTAAATCAAAGCAATATCACATAAAGCCACAGACTACAAAACTAAAAAGGATTGAAAAAGAAAAAAATTTAGCTCCAGCTAACATGTCAAAATTCATTTATAATAATGTCCTTCTGTACAAGACAAGAATACTTGTGAAGCCAAAGCAAACTGCTATGAAAACCACAATCCGAAAAACCAGACCTCACAGCAACATCTAAGGATCAAACCTTTCAGATGAAATGTACAATTGAATGCTATATATGCCTCATGTATCAGTATCATCTGGGTCCTGATAGCTCGATTGCTTCGACAAGCGATGATTCCTCAACAAAGTCCAGATATTTCGGTTGAGGTTGCTCCGAGGATCGAGACTTCGGCGTGTCGAGCTTCATTGATGCTTCCCATCTCTCGGCGAGGCCATCTCCTTCAAGCATTCGGACCACCTCGGACATCTTTGGCCGCCGGGTTGGATTGTATTGTGTGCAAAGGAGAGCCACTTGAACCATCTCCTCGAGCTCGACCCAGTCGTAGTTGTTCTTCAGGTCCTTGTCAACCATCATATTTAGTGTATTGTCCTGGTGGAGTTTCTTTACCTGCAGGCATACAGAGATTACTCGGTCCTGTAAAACACTTCTGTTGGTCACAAAGTTTTGATGCTAGTGATTATAGATAAAAGAATTTTGATATGATTTCTTTAATTATAAGAAAACTATGATATGCAACTATAAAATGGTGATGAGACCTATAATGCTGTTAGCCATTAAAAAAGAAGTATAAAATTAAGTTAAATGTCACAAAGATGAGGATGCTCATGTGGATGAGTGACTTTATACTTATATAGAATGCAAAAACAAGTATATACGTGAAAAGGTTGGAATTGCTCCATTGGCAGATAAGATTATAAAGAGTTGCCTTAGATGATTTGGTCATATACAATATAGGCCTTCAATTGGGTAAATTATTCTGTACGGACGCCGAACACCATCCAGAGACCAATCAGAATGCGCCACATCACCCCAACTCGGTACTGTGGCTCGGTACCGCTGACATGGCACATTCTGGTTGGTCTCCGGATGGTGAACTGCGTTTGGCATCCGTACAGAATAATTTCTCCTTCAATTAACCCGGATAGGAGAGTTGATGTATTAGAACAGACTGAAGAAACTGGATCTCAGGTCCATAACAAGAAGACATAAAGAATAAAGAGCAAGAAGAGATTATCTATTTTTCATTACCGAACTACAGTGTACAATCCTATATATAGAGCTGGACAAACCGTAATAAAGTAAACTAGCTAATAGCGTACAGCCACGTCAGATATATAATTAAATCTATTTAATATCTTGTTCTAATACAGACCTATATTAAGAAAGGTAGATGTGGATCTAAAAGACTTGGTTAGAAACAATTAGAAATTATCTTTTTTATTAGATTTAAATGAGAAGTTGACTCTTAATAGCACACAATGGAGAAACAAGATTCATGCAGCTAACCACATGTAGTGGAATAAATGCTAGATGTTGATGTTGTTATTATAAGAAAAACTATAATCCAGTATCTCTGGATTCTATTTGGTATGCATTTAAGTAAAAAATATATATCAAATATATGTTGAAGATGTTAAATATATGTATGCTAGAGCATTGATAGTGTCAAAAAGTTCCCAATTCCAATAAGAACTCATAAAGAACAGTACTAAGCATGCACATTTGTATTGGTCATATAAATGCTTATAAGGAATTTTCAAAGTGATGTAACTTGGTGTGTATTCTTTTCACATATGACATAGTTCTAAACGACAAGATTTTACACTGAAATTAGTGAATAATATTTAATAAGTTATGATTAAAAGAACAAAAATTGGACTGGTTGTATGATATGTAATTTGGTTAGTATGAAATTAGCAAATATTAGTCAATGTTAATAGAGGATAAAATGATATCTATCAATAATAATTTGAGGTGTCTTGGATTGATTATACTAAAAGCTAGAGGATAATATGAGATTTAACTTCTAGTGTAAGAACAAGGTCGTTAAAATAAAGAAATTTCTCAAGGCATGTAAAGCAAACAAGAATTATCACTAAGATTTGAAGATAATTTTTATAAAATTATAATTTAATCGTATGCTCTATGTATTTAAGTGTTGTACAATCATAAAAAAACCATTAATATCCAAATTAATCGTGCTAACAATGAGAAGACTTAGAATGAATTGACACCTAATCATATTAAAGGGATGTTGTGAGCAAAATTTATTGAAGACAGTGTGAAGAATATACTTTGATTTCAACATGTAAAATGAATAGCAGAAAACATATCTATTAACTGAGTATTAAGAAAACAATGAGGAAGTGAAACAGTCAAAAGCTTACCCAATCAAGTATGGCTCCTTTCTGGTTAGCAGCTCGTCCAAAATCTACAGCTTTCTGACCAGTAATCAACTCAAGAAGAAGAATCCCAAAGCCAAAAACATCAGTTTTTTCTGATGACTGGCCTGTGGATAAGTACTCTGGTGCTATGTGACCAACTGTTCCTCGCACCGCGGTGGTTACATGTGACTCTTGGTGATCTAAAAGCTTGGCCAGCCCAAAGTCGCCGACAATTGCCTCAAAATCTTCATCGAGAAGGATATTGGCGGCTTTTACGTCTCGATGAATTATTTTTGGTTCACACTGCTCATGCAAGTAAAGCAATCCTCTTGCAGTTCCCAGTGCTATCCCTTTCCTCCTTGACCAGCCTAAAGCTGGCCTTCCATGAATATGTTCTGCCAGAAAGGGAAAATAGTGAGTCAAATAGTTATACTAAAGAAATGCTTATTTGCTTCACTTTCTGAATTTACTTATTCTGATGGTTTTCTGATTATCCAATAAGAAGACATGTTAAACGCTAATAGCATAATTGTGGTAAAAGAGGGCTACAAACAATAGAAAGGAAGGAAATCTTGCTAGTGTGAAAGACTTGATAGAACAATACAAAGTTATGAGAAAATGTTAATTGGGATCATTATAGTTTATGCATTAAATAGAGTGTGCATTAAACTGTATGCTGAACATGTTGATTGTATAAATGCATGCTTTCCTTGCCATAAGTTTAATAGTGAAACTCAATTAGTATGATTGACAGGGATGCAAAAATTAGAAGCACTAGTCCAAATGACCGGACGGCTCGCAATCGATTAGAAATAGTCAAACTATAAATCTTTTCAATCGATAGAAAATGTTAAAATAAATTTATAGACCTCTAAACCCTATTTTACCTCCGTTTCGGCTTGAATCCCAGATTTACTAATTCAGATAGTTCAACGCTGTACAAGATTTAGAAGAAAAGCAAGAAATGGGGAGAAAGATAGGGTTACCTTCGCCAAAGAGCCTATTGTCATGATTTTTTCTCTTATCTTCATTGATGGTTCAACTAAGCGAGGAAGGTTTAAATAGTACTTGCAGACAGCATTTTATTATACTGATTATTAAATTTATTAAGAAAAGGCCGCTAAGTCGCTAACATTCTCTCTCCTCGAGATGCATCAAAGTATATCCGATTCAAGCACAAATGGACTTATTTGATTCATCTAGATGAGCTGGAGCCAACGGTGCAATATGTTTTGCAAGATATAATCTCGATCGAAAAATTTTATATACGGAATGAATGTGTATAAGAGATAAATTGGACTGATGCAAAAAGGAGGTCGACAATCTATATTTATAAAATCCTAAAACTTCTATAAAAATCATCTTATGGAACTAGCTCTCTTATCCCACATCAGATTTGACACAACTAAAAGATTATAATTTGCCTCTTAACAAGCTATATTAAAAGATTAATAATTTCTCACTTTTTAATTTAAAACACCTTATTCTAGGGCCATAATACTTTAAATTGTTTATAATATATAACTACAATCTTATGTTGTGTGGTCAAGCTTTTCCTTTTAATCATCTTACAAGATTTACATTATAATTTTTTTGAGAAAATGATCAAAACGGTTCATTGACTATTTATGGAAGACCAAAATAATCAACTATATTAAAGAATTATTTTGATCTCTCAACTCTTTAAAGAGGAACCAAAATAGTCCCGCCATTAGACTTGAGGGACTATGATGATCATTTAATATAGTTGGTGACCATTTTAGCCCTACATAAAGAATCAAGGACCATTTTAATCTTTTTCACATATTACTTTCACTCTAAGTAAGAAGAATTATATTTATGAACTTGAGACACTAAATTTTGTTATCAACACCATGTTCCTCAAAGTGTTCATTATTGCAAGATCATGAGCTTTCTTGACATCAAGTGTACCTTCTCTTACTATATTTTATTTTTAATTACATAACCACCATGCATCTTCTCAAAGTCCATATGGGCAATGCAAGGTGAGGACACAAGTCTTCTCTCATTACACTTTTAATCACTCGGTCTAAATGCTCAGGTAATGCAATGTGAGAACTTGCATTTCTGATACTTGCTAGGTGACAACATTTCTAAGGTATTGCTTAGGCAAGTGCCATATTTTAAAGTAGAAGACGAGGAGAGACGAAATATAAAACTTCAAGTGCAAAAGATGAGTTAATTTTTTCTAATGCAAAGTAACATGAGAATATGAGGAAAAAGCATCTAGTAGAAACAAAGGCGCACACTAGGAAATAAGTTAGACTAAATGTAGACGTGCAAATGTAAGAGATTTAAGTTCTAGAGTGCTAAATTTTAAGGAAGAAAAGACTAAGATTGAGGAGGAGGAAGAAATATAGGGCTACAAATTAAGTTTTGAAGAAAAGATGATTGGTTATAATCAACATAGAATAAATAATGCTAAAGATTAGCTTAACCTTGCATTATGAATGTTATTTGTTATATTTTATGTTTTTCAAAGAAAAGTTTAGCCCCGCATTGATTTGGCAATCAATGGCTCATATTTAGTAACAGAAATATTTATTACTCATGTCTAATCAATGAGGATTATTATTTTATAACGGAAATATTTATTGATGTTTTATGACTTGATTTGAAAATGTTTAAATTGATTATCATAATGCTTGTAATTAGTTGTTTTAACATTCATAACATTTGAGATTAATTATTATAATGTTTCCAAAATTAGTTCTATAATGTTTTAAACTAAAACGGCTATTTATTTTTGGTCTATATAAGACCTCGGTATGAAAAAATAATTTTTCTTTTCATTCTTCAATCCACTTTACATCTCTTAAAAGCAAATATCTACATTGTTGTTCATGCTTCCAGCTGTGATTAGCGCAAGCCATCATGAATAGTCCGTTGAATTCTAGGATTTAGACCATTGTGGACCTTTGCACCTGGAAGGAGCGGAAATCTAACTTTAAGAACAGTGCTTCACACGCCTCTTTATCTACTTATTCAATAAGTTTTCTGCTGTGGAAGCACCTAAGCTGGAAGAAAAAAACAGAGAACAAGAATACAAGCAATGCAACAGTAAACCTGTAACGGGTTGTATTAACTATCAAAGAGAATGATCCCCAAGGAGTTTCTTCCTCCTCATATAACAGAGGATAACTTTACTAAAAGCTAGTAAGCAAAGAGTAAAAGTGTGTGTACTAAGGTGCCAACTATAGTAATAACGGTAGTGGAGAAAAAAGCAGCAAAACAGAAAATGGTTCTCCACGATGTGATAAGCCTGCGGAATACTCCCAATGAATATGAGTCCACATCATTTTCTAATGGCAATTATCTTACTGCTCTTCTGTTTTTACAACACTAACATAAATAGTTTAATTGTTAAAACGAGTTGATCAAATATTTGGCATACTTTCTATTCAACAAGATATTAAAACTAGGAATTAAACAAAACATGGAAATTTCATATTTTGCTCAATATAGTTTTGATGTTTAATGTGATGATTGTTATCATGTACTCTTCAAAAGTCTTGTTCATAATTGAAACAGGTTTACGTGAATAAGAAAACTTGCATAAATAACAAAAAGCTTAGATTAGGCAATATTCACAGTGCTGTACATCATGATGCACGCACCTCTTAGTTGAGAAGAAACACTTCCATTTGGCATGTAAGGGTAGACGAGCAATCTCTCATTCTCGGTCGTACAGAACCCATAAAGCCTAAGTAGATTGCGATGGACAGCCAAGCTAATCATTTCAACTTCAGTTTGAAATTGGATTTCTCCACCAAGAGCATTGTAATCTTTCAGTCTTTTAACAGCAACAAGCGTTCCATCTCTAAGGCAACCTTTGTAAACAATTCCATATCCTCCTTTCCCTAATATGTTTTTCGGATCGAAATGATTAGTAGCCATCCGAAGCTCCTTAAAGGAATACCGTTTCAAATGGCCCAATCGCACTTCTGATTCATATTGCTCTGCAATAACAGACATCATTCAAATAAAATAATTATATCAGACAAAAAAGTGAACTTAAGATACAAATTTAATAAAAAAACAAGGATTGCACATTCTTATATAGTTAAGTTGCATTGCACAGTTAAACCTTCTTTAAAAATGCTTTTTTTATCAAGAGGCTATCTATTTGCACATGTTAAAACAATCATATACAAGTATCACATTATCTTTCAGCTATTTATAAATATTATTAGGAAATAATTTGATACACAATTATGATTAATTGCATATATGGGATCAATTACAATGAATAATAGGGACATAAATTACAATATAGCTTCTAAAATTAAGGTCGAGTGATGTGATTATAAGGGAGAAATATCTCAAGAGTATAATGTGATAAAAGAATAATGTAATTATAATTGAAAGGTTCATTAAGAACATTTTCATAAGTAAACTTCTTGGAATCTTGCTCGTCAATTTATAAATTTGCAATTAGGTGAGCTATATTATATAGACTCCAATATAGGGTTGCAAAGAAGCTCCTTGTAGTTAACTTGAGCATGAAACGAATGATTGTTGATATGGATGTGTGAAAAAACTAATAATGATATAATGAGAAATGATTATATTAGAGGGATCATGAGATTGACATCTTTTGAAGATGATACATTGTAAAATAAACTGAAATGAATTAGATATTTACAATAGGATTGTGAATGATCCAATCATGAGAAGATCCAACCCAACTCAAAAATGGCTCAAAGCCATCAATTTGGTCCGCATCAATGTCAGGCCCAGCTATAAACAAGATCAATTCAATCTCGATTCACGTTAAGGTTGGTTCATTTATTTCAATTTAAAGCTCTATTCACTCCAAAAATTTATTCGCTCTTAGGAAAACTTATTAGTACAACCTACAAACAACCAATGATGAATTTGTAAAAATAAAAATATATAGAGCATACAAACATATGGAGTTCTCACTAATACATAATTTAGGGAGGGTCTACCATACGCAATATTAACCCTACATTTGTAAGAACATTGCCTTCATTACTCAAACTAGAGACATTGAAATTGCACCGGAGGTAACTTAACCATTTCTCCACACCAACCCTCAATATGTATGCAATCACTTAAACATAATACACATTTCAATTAGCTTTTCATATAGTTCAATTCAAACTAATTTTGGCTTGTTAGTTGAATCTTTGATTAGAATCTAGCTAGACCCAAGCCAAAAACTATCTAATTTTTAACCAATTCTCGATCTACGAATCAAAAGCACAAACTTAATGTACAACAAAGAGTAAATAATTTACTAATAGGATAGGTAGATATAGTTGAAGTTGAAGGATCAGGATGGAAAAGGGTAAAACAAAGATAACATAGAAGTTTTGCAAAGATATTGGTGCAGAATTTGTAAAATGTGTCATGTAACACTCGATGAGAATCAATGGAGAATGATGATTTAAAACATCATCCCTAAATAGCTAGGATATGGCAAATGATAATGATGTTGGTAGTGGTGGCTAAACTATAATGATTTAAATAATAATTTATTTTTACTGAACAAAGTTTAATAAGATGTTTATCATTCCTGCAATAAGAGGTAAATTTTTCTTTCTTATTTTATTGTATTAAAAGTTCCAAAAGCTTTCTAAATATATTAAATTATAGTAAGTGCTCTAAAGACAAATTTAAATAACTTGCATAGTTACACTACTAGAGTCTGAAAGTTTGAATAGCCTGGATTGTTTCTCCTTTTTCTTCTATTTTCTATGAAACACTAACATCAGAAGCCTTAACGAAAGTTGCTAATAGTTGGGACAGAGTGAGAGAGAGCAAAAGTGTCTCCGAGAGAGGGAAAAAGAAAAAGAAGCAAAGTAATAGCATAGAAATTGCTTGTTGTCCAAAGAAAAGGTGTGTGGGCATGTAATGAAAGCTATTCCAAATGCACACTCAGATTAAATAAATTTAACAGCATGGAAAAGAAATTGTTGAAAAGTGAAACTAGCTTTACAGTATCATATCTTCATCAGACAGCATTAAATAAATCCAATAAAATTGCAATAGAGTTTTAAGTGCAAGGAAGGAATCTAACCATTCACATCAAAGAAAATTTGCTGATTGCATCGCTGGTGCCACCAAATAAACATAACCACAAGAACTACAAATAACAAAGATCCAACACTTGCAGCAAAGAAAATGATTATGCGGCGGCTTCTCATGGCTCCATGCTGCGACTGAGCTGAGAAATCCAAGATGCCTATTAATTAGCATATTTGTGGAGATAAATCACTACATTGTTTAAGGAAAGCTCATTATCAAGAGAAATAAAAACAAGAAATAAGTTTTAATACCCTTTAGATCATCTGGAGGATATGAAATGGGATTCAAAGACACAGAAGAGCAGTTGCTCCAGCTCCCAGAGTTCCGTGCGCATATTAAAGAATTTCCACCAATGCTGGGATAAAATCAAGAATGATGTTATACTCAATAAGCCCCATTTCATGATTACTTGTTCCAAGCTGTTGTGTAAAACCAATGATGATAATGATTGTATTCAACATTGCATCAACTAAGGGGTTGTTTGGTAGCAGGGTTTAGTGAAATCCAGTCAAACGGCCTAAAATGCAAAACCAAATCTCACGGCAAATCAAAGCCACCATAGACGGAAAATTCCGCCTTTTCGTGCTAAATCCCGGATTTTTGCCGGATTTACGAAATCCATCGGCTCAATAGAAAAAGTCAGCTTGTTAAATCCGTTCTATAGCCAAACAGTCACAGGGGATTTAATAGGATTTATCATGAATGTAACCAAACAGTTTTCAGGATTTAGGCCCCTTAGGATTTCTGAAATCCGGATTTCAAACTTAGCGGATTTATGAAATTCTACTTAAATCAAATCCTGGATGCTACCAAACATCCCCTAACAAAAATTAAAACAGTAAGAAAGCATACTTGAATGTCCTAGCAAACAACTTTGGTAATGGTCCACTGAGATTGTTGAATGAAAGATCCCTACAGGAGCAGACATCAAAATTCATTTTGTGATCTTCATAGTGAATTTTAATTTTATAGAGTAGAAAAACGCACAGGCATTTAAATCAAAAAAGATAGAAGGATAGATGAGAGGATAATAGTAGCACATACAGCAAAGTGAGGCCTTTGACATTAGATAAAGAATCTGGGCAGGGTCCAGAGAGGCTGTTATTATTCAGTCGCCTGGCTTGTTAACAGCAGAACAAAATGTGTTACTAATTTCAACTCGAATGACATTGAATTTAAGAAAGAAAACCCTAAACATCAAAGCAAATTTCATACTACATAAACCAAAATGTTCAAAAACCAGCCACCGCAAAGATGATTTTCATATTACAATAATGAAATTGGAAAAGTATGGGAAAGAGAATTTTGGATTGAAAATTACAGGTAATTCAGATTTGTCAGAACTCCCAAGGAGTCAGGTATGCTGCCATTGAAATGGTTATTGGAAAGATCCAGTGTCTGGAGCTTTTCCAGCCTTCCAATGGTAGCAGGAATGGGTCCTGAAATTGCATTATTCTGCAGCAACCTGCAAGTAAATTTTAAAAAAAAAACTAAAAATTTCATGGCACTTTCTGTCTGAAAGTTTTAACAGGAATCAATGGAGAAACCTCGCCACTTACACAGATTGCAGATTTGTTATATTTCCAATCCATGGAGATAAAGTCCCATACAAGCTTTGGCTGGGAAGGCCCCTGGCACAGATGAAGAACAACATATTCAATTTGGCAACAAATTTCCCTTCTGTTATGAGAAGGGATGAATTAACAGAATATATAGGTTTTATGAACTTACAGAGCAGAAACAAATCCATCTGCAGAGCAAGTGACCATCCTCCAGCTGCATGGATCCACAGAGTTTATGTCCCAATTCTCCAGAACATTATAGGGGTCGTTAAGCTCCATTTTTATAGCCATCAATGCAACAACTATATTGAACAAGGAAGATAGTTCAGAGACAAATGTGGGGCAAAAATTAACTTCGAAGGCTCACTGAACTGAAATACAATGCAATAAAACACAGTAAATCACTGGAAGCTTAGATCCAGTTCAAGAAATCCATTAGAAGTTTAAAATGTGTTCAAGCATCTGAAGGGATCTATGATGCACAATTGCTAACAGAAATGAATAAACTAGTGGAAACCTAACTTAAAGCCTGTATAAAAAACCTAAAAGAAGAGCAACCTTCGTATTAAACCAGCCATTTTAGCTTCCATGAAAAGATTACAGAGAAGAAACTTATAACAAAGGGGGAGAAAAAAACAGAGAAAGAAGAAAGAGTAGAGCTCAAATGTTTAAGAATGGAAAGTCAAATTCAAGAATACACAAACCTTCGTAGTTTATACCAGAGGGCGAAAGATTGGAAGAACTCACATCCAACCATGGCATTAATGGCAGCAAGCTTAGCATCCAGCGGGACCAGAAGACCGGGAAAATCCCTCCCTTCTCCATCCGAACTTAACCAAACTTCCAACACTCAAAAACCATTCCACCACAAGAACACGAGCGAAAAACCAAATTATCTCAGATTAAACTGAAACAGAGCAAGCTTTAACTGTCTAAGAGACAAAATCCAAGAGAGAATTTCATCTCTCATCATGGCTAACAAAGACCAGAAGCCACATTTCCGGCGAAACTCCTCCCAACTTCAAAAAAGCAAAACCTAGATGCAAAACCCAACCTATCTCCTCTTAAACACGAGCAAACTCAGCTTCCACCAAAATTCCACAGCGCAAACCAACCAAAAGCCGCAAAACCTCTCTTCCACTGAAACTTTACCCTCTTAGAACCATATTCCAGTGTAACAAAGGAAACCAGTAAAGGAGCTTCTTTTACTCAAACAAAATGAATACTTTTCGTTTGCCCATTTCTCCCGAATTTTTTTTTTTTTTTTTTTTCTGGGAAGAACTCACATTTCGTTGATTTGAACTTACTTTTACACCAATCGGTACAGTTTGGCAGAGATCACAACTGCCCTGGTTGGCGTCCTTCTCACCAGAAAGCAGCTGCCCACGCCGATACCAAACACGCAAAAAGCCAACTTTAACAGCCAAAGTTCCCCCACCGGTTGCTGATGCTCTGCAACTGCGTTATCTTAACAAATTAAAAAATCAGTAAGGTATTTATAGAGAAAAAAAAAACGAAGCGAATATATAATTTAATATAGCGCACATTTCGGAATTTTTTTTGAAATTATTGCATTCGGAACGAGTCATGATGGACAAATTAGATAAACAGATATCTTGTTTCAATCAATATATTCATTTCACGGACCATTCAATTATATATAAAAGTGTAAATAGGACCCATAAGTTGTACTTGTTATTTTGTGAAGACGGCGGCGGTCGCCGTCCGTAGACCAATCAGAATATGTCATGTCATTCTTTTGTTCGGTACTGTGACTCGGTAATGCTCGGTACCGCTCGGTATTCCAGATTGGTACAGCCGACGTGGCGCATTTTGGTTGATCTCCAGACGACGTTCGGCGCCCAGTCTCCGCATATAATAATTTCTTCATAAGTTGGTTGAAATTTTAATTCAAAGAGAGTTTATGAGTCGAATTCATTAAGCTACGAGTTGAAATTATAATCTAAATTCAAGTTCATATATTATACAAGCTCAAATTTGACCCAGCTCGAGCATACATGAATAATATTAATCAATGCATCGGCATTTATATTAATGTGATTATTTTTTTATTCAGATTTAAAATAAGAAAGTGCGCTCCAAAATGAGACAATATCAAGCTTTCTTGATGATCTCGAGCCTCATACTTTTCACTTGAGTTGTGCTTGTGCTTAAAAAATAAGTTCGAGTCGAGCTCGTGTATATATATATATATATATATTAGGATCAATCCTTAGCATTTTTTGCGCATTCATATTTTTGAATAATATGTTATGGACTAACCCGCTATATAAGGATCGACAAGACAAGCAGTAATTTTTAAGGAAATTTGTACATCTCAAAAAAACTTACTACTCCCTTTGACACAATCAGTGCCTGTTGCCCTCTTATTGATGCCCTAGCGTTCATCGCAACCCTCATCAATCTCCTTAACCCCTATAACTGTCATAATCATCTGACTTGATCACCTCTCATCTCAAAATTGTATTTTTCTAGTCATCGTAGCTGGCCCAAAGACACAACCGCTTTTTTTCTTTAAACAACACTTAGACTAATGATAATTTTTTTATCCTTCTCCAACAAACTCCCGTTTCAACTCGTTATTTTCTTCAAACTATGATGATCTCGTCGATCCTTAGCCAGCCAGCGCTTGTTGTGATTTTCTAGTTTCTTCAAACAATATTGGGTTTATCAATCATTCTTCAATGAGCTCTTGTCATGACCTCCACTTCGCTCTAGATACTAGTCTTGAAACTCCCCAAATGAGCTCTCTCAATGATTTAAGATTTTCCCCGGTTAGTCTTATCAATCATTCTCTACCAAACTCCTATCACGACCCCCTCTTCTCCTTTGGTGACCTCGAGTTCTCGAGTCAAGCTCATGCTCAAGTCTGAGTCGGCTTTTAGCCAATAAGTTGAGCTCGAGTTAGCTGCGATTTAAGCTCGGCTCAACTCTTGGATTGTTGAAATTAGTTATTTTTAATTGTAATTTTCAACACAATTAAATAAATATAAAATCTAGTCATAATCATAGATTAGATTATTATGTCTACTATATATAAATAAATTTATTATTTTAAAATAATATTTAAATTTTAATAATAGAGAGAGAGAGAGTGAAATAAGCTGTGAGAGGTCACATGGCCGCCTTTTGTCTCAGCCTTTGTTTTGGCTTTTTAGAGCCTCCTTTTCTTTGATGGGACAAAAAGATTCCAGTCAACTTATTAATTATATTAAAATATCTCTTTGTATTTAGACTTCATTTGGGACAGCTTTTTAATTAATTATTAAAAAATATTTATAGTTTAAAAATTAAAATTTGTATACTAGAAAGAAGTTTTAAAAGTAATAAGAAAGTTGTCCTAAACGAAGCCTTAGTGTTGATGGTGCGTATCAACCTTATAGGTGATGGGATATGTCAGTGTCATTGGTAATGACGAACGATAAAGCCATGAATGTTGGTGCAATGGGCGATAATGGTCAAAGTGATTGCAATTGTGTGATAACAGTTCAGACGACAATGTTGAACAAACTGTACTCGAGCGACAATGTTGAAGAATCATAGTTGATTGATGGTGGTTAAAGAAACATAGTCATAAGGCAATGACCAAAGGACTATAGTCGAGTGATAGCAGTAGGAGAATTATAATCCGATGACGATGATTGGAGGATCGTGGCCAAGCAACAATGATCGAAGGATCAGAGTCGATGGAAAATATAATAAAGTGGCGATTGCTAGATGATCGTAGTTTTACAATGATAGTCAAAACACGTAGTCAGACAATAATGGTTCGATGGTTGAAGTTGTGGAATGGTGACTAGAAGTATGTTGCTGGGAGATAGCGATCAAAGGACCTTAGTTTTATGACTGTGGCATGATGACCGAATTCATGAAATGATGACAAGGAGATCGTACCGTAAAGTTTCTTATTTTCTTATTATTAGCATTCTTGCGCATGAAAATAGCTTCATCACTAGGAAAATAAAATAAAATTTTATAAGGCTTATTCAAATTTATTAAATTATTAATCCTCATTAATGCTAGGAATGTTCAGCCCAAAATTTGTCAATGTATTTACATATTTGCCCAAATCTATTCAAATATAGGACATATTTTCCCACCAAGGCATCTTTAATGTCGGTCAATCTAATTTATATTATTATTTAAAACTACTATACAATTTTTTTATTTATTATTAATTGCACATATACCTTCCCTTCAAAATAAAAATTACAATATTGCGTTGAAGTAAAAGTTTTTACTTGTCCAATACGCTACAATTATAGCAGCTACTTTAAAATTCTATCTTCTCAGTGAAAATATTCCATCTCTATGACAATTTTCTCATAATATCTTCTTATTTTATGACTTAGGATGAAACATTTGTTAAAAAATAAGCAAGAATTTGAATTTAGAGGGATAAATTACAAATATGCAAATGCTATAATATTTGAGAGATCAATGTAAAAATGTTAACTCATCATTGGATGTTTCGCTGACTTATAACTTGTACAATAAAAAATAAAGTTTAAAATCATATTTAATTCAAAATTATCTGTGGATGATACTCGACTTTATTAGTAGCCCAGTAGATTAATAGACGAGCAAAACCTGTGTGAGAATGGATAATAGACGCAATAGAGAGTAGAGTTAAAGAAAGAGAGAGAGAGATTATGAAAAATGCTCGAAAAGAACCAGAGCTCTAAGATTGGCAAAGTTTCCACCATATAAATTAAAAGAAAAAATACAAGAGTTAAAGGTCCATAAATTGTTCATCAACACCCCTTATTTATAGGGTTCCAAGGTCTATAGAAAAAGCTATAAAATGAAAACAAATTTAAAATACAAGGCTATATAGTTCGCATATATAACTACGCATCGCTCTACACATATGTCACTTTGTTATTGACTGGGGTGAGGTGAGTTTGATGATCTATCTCTAGGGGAGTTCGATGGTGTCGAGTGTGCACCAAACGAGTTCATAAGGGGGCAATTCTGTTGTACAAACCAATTTTGTGGGTTAACACCAAGTATGATAAACTTGGTCAAGTGATTTAAGTCGGGAGTTGAGTTGATAAAGCTAACAGAACTGACCATGATTGATGTTGGATAGGGCGAGCCGATGGCCTTGAGTAAGTTCTTTTTTTGTAGTTGAGTTTGGATGGAGGGATGGTCACTTAGGGAAAGAGTGAGTGAGTGACAATTGAGTCCATGTAAGTGGTCGATGTCGAGTTATTGATTTGACGACGAATCCAATGGTTGCCCTATATAAGGCAAGTTCATTGATAGGCTTGGACGTTTGTTGATCTAGTATTCTAGTCACACTGAGTTTCCTTTTAACTTTATAGCAAGTACCACTCCCCTTAGATTGCTTAGGCAAGTTCCTCCCATGAGTCTCCTTGAAGGACAAATTAAACTCATATATGGTGAATTGCTAGCCACCTGTTAAACGCCAATGAAAACAAAGGTAAATATCTATAATCGCGAATTTCCAAACATACAATAAATATTATATTAACACCTTAGTTTAGGGCTGTGATAGAGTTAGAAATTTTTGCCTCAACGTTGTACGAAATATCCAACTCACAAATAGAAAAAAAAAAAAGAAACACCTGAATTTTTACGTGGAAAATCCTGAAAAAGGGAGAACCCATGAGGTCACGCCTAGTTGAAATGATTTCACAATTATTTGATTGGATTACAAATGACTGAATGATACTTGAAATTAGGAACGATTATGTTACAATAATCAACCATTGGGTTGAAATCCAATTACTAATGGAGATTAGATGATTCTGTTGATCGTGGATCATTTATTTGACATTTTAATATCTTAATGATATCATAATTCAGTGATATTGAGCTTGTTGGATTTGTCTTGTCGAGCCACTCAATTCGACTATTAGCATGCCATGTTCGGAAACTGATAATCCAAATTGTGGTTTGAACCTTCAAAATATATTTTAGGTATTTGACTCGGATTCATTTGGGCTCGGATTGAGTCGAATTTGGTGTCATTGGGTTCGTATTTTCGAGATGTTTAGTTCAACTATAAATTTGCTTAAATCGGAGTTCCGATGGCCACCGATTTAATTTTGAAACTCTCCAACTTGATTTTGCCGGAGATTGGTGTCCGATCCAGATAATTTTTTAAATGATATATCAACCTTCTTTAATTATCTAATTATAATCGTTAGAAGCCATTACTCATACTAATCAAATTATTTCATATTTTTAGTAAAAAACTAATATTAAAAGTGTTTTCAAAAGGTAGATCTGTAAAAAAAAAACTAATAAATAAATCTCTTCCATTTCAAATCTGGCCTAGTCAATGCAAAATAATAAAAAAATAAGAAGCTGCGAGAATATCCGACAACTCGAGGGGCTAAAAGCACAGAGGTATTTTTGTCGCTTTGGGAACCCGCAAGCAAATATACTGTGGTAATTTTCGAGGCCTTCCTAATCCCCCCTTAATTATTTACTAATTACAGGATTAAACAATTTCCAATTTCGTGCTCCGAGATCCAATTACAAACTGTTTTTTAGCTTTGTACCCTCCTCGAGTACCCAAGAGGATTCCTGCAAATAATAATTGTTTATTTGTCACAATTTTTTATTTTTACTTCCCTTTCGTTATTTACATAAAACTTTGAAGTGTTGGGCTGGAGTTATGTGTATAATGGGCCATTCTTGGGTGGGCTTCTTTTGCTGCTTTATAGTGGCTGGATTCATAGCCCGATTTGTTGAAATGGGAAATTTTGTTTGCAAAAATGATGAAGAATGCAATAAACACTAAGGTTTTATTTCGGACTTGTCTATGTGAACAGTAAAAACACAGTTATTGTATGTTTTTGATGTTCACGTAGATAAAATCGAACGATGCTCTGTGTTCGGATTCCACACATAATAATCTATTTTCATATAGACAGTTTTTTTATTATTTTATTTTTTATATCACAATAATAAATGATGATGAATATTAAGAAAAGCTAAAAAAATAAGTCGATTAGGTTGGTTAATTTGGAGTTTGGTAAGCCAAGTAAGTAGATCCTTTTGAGAAGCCTATCGGCTAAGCGTTTGCGATTAGTGTGATAATTTAGGGGTACTCATATGTAGTAACTAATGAGATGAACATATGGTAGATCTAGCTTGAGAGGGGATGCTAAAAAGGGAGCAAATTGTCTTATCTTTTGTTGTATATGAGAATGTGAGGTTTCGTTTGGTGCGGCTTTCTTACCGCTTAAAATAGCTTTTTAGTACAAATATTTTAATTTTTTTACTAAAAAATTGTTTTAAGAAGTAACAAGAAAGTCGTTCCAAACGAAACCCGAGTTTAAGGTTCATATGAACAAATTATTTCACTGAATTTTCAAAGGAGATCAGCCTTAAAGTGAAATTGGCCCAAAAGCGACTGAAACAATGTTCTTTTAGAAGGCATGTATGGGTTAACATGTTCCAATGTGTGTGATACAAAATAATAATGATAATTTATGTCATTTTGATGACTTATCTATTTAATTATGAAAGATTCACAAGACTAATATAGCATGCTTCATCATCATCATTATCATTGTTAATTATCATCATAATCGTCTAGATGAAGACAAGGAGCAATTTCATTCATCAACACAATCATTCATTTTTTGAAAGAAACCACCTTCTTCAAAAGTAAATAGAATATGATAATTTTATTTTAATCACCACAACAAGTACATGACTTTTATCCTTTCCAAAAGGAATTGATTGATTTAAGCATGCATGTGATGTCCTCCTCGTTCCCTCTCGACTTTTCTTGTAAATTCTAATGCAATAAAGGATGATTATAAAAAATTATCATCGCAATCATTATTAGTAATTATCATCCGCTTTGAGATGAAGGTATGGAAAAAATCATTCATCACATCTATCATTTATTTATGGAAAGAAATCATCATCATCAAAATATTAAAAAGAATAGATTTATTTATTTTGCTTCTATTGAAGGTATATGACATAACTTAAAGCATCATGATAACAACCTCGATAACCTCAGTTTAGCAATCAAGTGACTAGTTAAGTCATGGGTATTCATTCTTTGTGTCGGTTTAGTCAAAATCTCAGTCCATGTGCATCCTAAGCACCATTAGCCTCACCTAGTGCCTTTGCCTTTCATATATCTGATAGTGCATTTCATGAATGAGAGTTATGAGAGTCAAAGTAGGGTAGCACAAGTTGAGGTGATAGCTCGAATAGCTATACTTTATCTTACCCTCCGGGCTAGTGCTGTCTCATTGCACATCCATTTCATATCTTGGTCGCTCTTTATTGTGCTTATGATCCGCATCTTGGTCTCAATCTAATCTATACCATGAATCCTGATTCTCTCCCATTTCCATCCTACACTCTCTCTCGACAATGTTCTCTGGCTTCTGACTCTCCACTTTTGATGGATTATGCTTGAAAGCTAGTGTCTAACAGGCCTCCAACGCTGCAATGGCCAAATGAGAGTGAAATTAAGAATAAGGATCACAATTAGTCATAAAAAATTCTAGAAGCAGGGGGATGATAACCATTCATTTTGAATATAGAGTGTTTTACATTGCTCCATGATCTTTTTAAACGAGCTTAGTTGATTTGTGCAAACATGATAACATATATGTGACTTCCTCTCATCTCTCCATCTTATCTTTTTTTTTTTTTTATATATTTTTAATGTGATGAGTTTTGGATGATCCATATAATGAATCTCATTATTTTTGTAGTTGTAATATAGATTTTGTTTGTGACAACTAAAATTTTTGTACTAAAAATTTGCTGTAAGAAGCAGTAAAAAACAGTCCCAAACAGGGGTGTCAATTTCGGGTCACGGGTCGGGTTCGGGTCGAACCCGGAACTGACCCGGGTTCAAACGGGTCGACCCTAACCCGACCCGGTTATGTAAACGGGTCGGAAATGCCAACCCGGACCCGACCCGGCGGGTTTCCGGGTTGACCCGACCCGACACGAAAAAGCTGATCGCGGGGTCGTCGCAGCGGAGCGATCGCAGCGGGGCGCGGAGCGGTCGCAAGCGGGTTCGTCGCGCGCGGGGCGGTCAACCCGAACCCGACCCGTTTTTCAAACGGGTTGATTTCTGGAACCCGAACCCGACCCGTTTTGAAACCGGGTCGG